AGATAGGAGTCTCACAGTCTTTCCTGCCCGGGCTGGCTTTGAACCGTGATCCTCAGATCTCAGCCTCCTGAGTAGCTAGGATTACAGGCGTGAGCCACCGCAGCTAAATGTTCTCTCAGAAAAAGATTCTGAATCATTCCTTTGAAGTTTATAAAACATAGGAAACATTGTGAAGGGTATTATTTTGAAGTTATGAAATGTTTGGACTGGACATGCTTGATGATGAAATACTTTTTCTAGCATGTGTGAAGTCTCAGGTTCAACACGCGTGCGGGTGTGCACGTGCACACACACAGTGAAAGTAATTTGTAGAAAAAAAATCTCTGAACCTGTGAATTCCAAGTCCTCAGAGTCCTAAAAGCTCTCCCTGGTTTCCTTTTAATTTTGTACCTCCTATTCTTGTTTGCTTTTTCTCCAATGGTGCTCGTAGTGCGGTGTGGGTTTGGTCCCAGGTGGTCCTGGGCGTGGCAGGGTGAGGAGGATGGCTCTGGGTTCTCAGCAGCGCAGGCTCGTTCCGTTTTCCACACATGCAGAAGACGTCTTCCCACAGCCTTACTTCCTTTTCCTTTTGTGGAAACGTGAAGTTTAATTTGCTCTTTGTGCACGGGGCTCAGCCTGTTCCAAGTGTACCCTGGACACATGTCTGCCCTGTCTCCTGGAGTCCTGTCGCTGTTCTGAGATAGGACTTCCTATCCTGTCATAGGAGTGTTGAGATCACACTGCCTTTACTTCTTTCTCCTCGAATGGTACTACCCCACAGACACTTCATTTTGTTGGCCTTGGCTCTGATTTTGGGGAGTAGCGGATAAGTGCTAAAGCCATCTTGGAAGTCTTTTTGTACTCTAATTGTAAGGGAAAGAAGAATCACTTTTTTATTTTTCAAATTGAATTATTTGTACAATAATTAAAATATAGACTAGTATAATGTCCTTGTCTGTACTCATAATAGGTTCAGTTGTTACTGATCAAGGCTGATCGTATTTATTCTTCCTTATGTCACTTTTTAGACAGGGTTCGCTTGTCTTAAACTCATGATCCTTCTACCTCCACCTCCTGAGTGCTGGGCTGGGGGTCACCATACTCATTTTACTTCTCTTCCTTTCCCTTTTGTGGGGGTGTTTCTCCACTAAGCTGGAGCTTGAATTCAGGACCACACCTCCGTGTGTGTGTGGGGGGGTATATCCTAGGTGTATTGGGTATCATGTATAGTTTTTTTTTTGTTTCTTTTTTGGTCGGCCGTGGGGCTTGAACTCTGGGCCTGGGCGCTGTCCCTCAGCTCTTCAGCTCAAGGCAAGCGCTCTACCACTTGAGCTACAGCGCCACTTCTGGTTTTCTGGTGGTTTATTGGAGATAGGAGTCTCACGGTCTCTCCTGCTCGGGCTGGCTTTGAACTGCAATCCTCAGATCTCAGCCTCCTGAGTAGCTAGGATTACAGGCGTGAGCCACCAGCGCCCAGCTTTCATGTATAGTTTTTGAGGTGAGGTATCATGCCTCGACCTCACCTCCTCTGTGTGTGTGTGTGTGTGTGTGTGTGTGCGTGCGTGCGCGCGTGTGTGCGCACGCGCGATATATCCTACGTGTATTGGGTATCATGTATAGTTTTTGAGGTGAGGTTTCATGCCTCGACCACACCTCCTTCTCTGTGTGTGCGCGCGTGTGTGCGCGTGCTTAGGATACATCCTACGTGCATTGGGTATCATGTATAGTTTTTGAGGTGAGGTGTCAAGCCTCGACCAGCCCAGCTGTAATCATCTGACTTAGGCCTCCTCGCACCCCTGGTGACAGGCACATTGCATTGTGCTTAGCTGTTGTGCTGGAGGACATGCCCAGTACCCAGCCATTGGATGAGATGGAGTTCCTTGAACTCCTTTTTGCCTGGCTGGCCTCAAATGACAATCCCTGATCTCTGCCTCCCAAATAGTTAAGATTGCAGGCTTGCGCCAGTGCATCTGATGCTGCCCTTGCTTTAAAATATCTGAAACAAAGCTGAATGCTTCAGACAGGCAGAAGGCTTCATGCCAAAAGACAAGAACTCTTTTTTAAAATACATAGTTTTTGTAGCTAAAGATAACCGAAGAATGAATCCTTAATGTCATCAAATAACAAGTTCACACTTTTCCAGTTTTGTTTGAAATGGTGCTTAGCTTAGGTTCATATATTGTTAGACTAGGAGTTTACTCTCCAACAGTTTCTCTGGTAACTTTTTTTTTTTTTATTTGAACTCAAGGTTTCATTCTTGCTATGGAGATACTGCACTGCTTGAACCATGTCATCAGCTGTTTTGTGGCTTTATTTTTTTTTGTCGGTTGTGGGGCCTGAACTCTGGGCCTGGGCGCTGTCCCTCAGCTCTTCAGCTCAAGGCTAGCACCCTACCACTTGAGCCACAGCACCACTTCCATCTTTTTCTGCTTATGTGGTGTTAAGGAATTGAATCCAGGGCCTCATGCATGCAAGGCAAGCGCTCTACCACTGAGCCACCGTAGCTATTTGAGATGGAGTCTTGCATTGGTTTCAGGCCAATCTGAACCACGATCTTCCTTCCTATCCTTTTCACTGTAGCTACAATGAGAAGCACACACCATCAAATGCAACTTTTTTCTATTGAGATGGGGATCTCAGGAACTTTTTGCCTCAGCTGGCCTTGTACTGTGGTCCTCTGGGTCTCATTCTCCGACCTAGCTGTGATGAGAGGTGTGCATCCAGCTGTGTTTGAGACAGGGTCTCAAGCCCTGACTGGCTTGAACCTGTTCCTTATTTCTGCCTCCTAGTAAGATTAGAGGTAGGATCTAGGAAGTGGTGCTGTGGCTCAAGCGGTAGAGCACTTGCCTTGAGCTGAAGAGCGCAGGGACAGCGCCCAAGCTGAGTTCAAGCCCCACGACCAACAACAAAAAAGAGGATCTATTGCATATGCTGCTCTCTCTTTTTTTTTTAACTTGGTGTTTTTTGTGTTGGAAGAGAAAGTCTTTATTTCCCACAATCTGGCTTTTACATGATTTCTCTCTGTGTTCTCTAATGTTTTTCTGCCTTTTTTGTTTCCTGTCAGTTGGTAGTTATGTTGGTGAGATTTGTGTTGGTGAGGTTTGTGGGGGTGTGAGCTTGCGCTTCCATGGGGCCACATAAGTGTGGTGGGTAACTTACTCCTTTTGAATTGTTAGAGGACACTGATGGGAGTGACCTGAATTAATGCATTCCAACAGCGTTGTATACTGGCTCTGTTCCATGTATGACAGTGTGGTGTACAGTTCAAGAAGGGCTGCCTGTGCTCCTCCCTGACTCAGTCTCTGCAGACACTACTGGTGGTGGTTGTCTGCGCCTGGTCTGCTGTCCAGAGTGCCCTGGGTGAGGTGGCAAACAGCATCACCTTGTTTTTAAATACTCTGCACTAGAAAAGAATAATCAGATTCAGCAATCCACACAGTTTGCTCTCCTTATCCACGGATTCAGCATCTGGATTTGGCCAGCTGTGGATGGAATGTATTTAGGAAAAAAATATTGTCTGTCCTGGAGATTGTTATTCCCCAACAGTACTGTAGAAAAACAACCATTCACAAAACTTTTATATTTTGTTAGTTACTAGATAAATAATCCTGAGACGCTTTTGAATACTAAAGAAAGTATGCAAAAGTTACATGCTACGGTATTTTGTGTAAAGCACTGGAGCTTCCACATGTTTTTGTATCCTTGGTAAGCAGCCCTGTAATCAATCCAAATAAACTGTATGGTCAATATTCATGAATATTTGCATGTGTATTACTAAGCTGTAGATTTCCAGAGGGCTAAGAAAGATTTACAAAACAAACTATAACAGGAAAATTACTTCTGATTTTTAAGCCTTTTTCCTTTTCTACTTTTTCTACCTTTAGAGCCTTTTAGAAGACCCTTATCCTATGGTCCGTTCTATAGGCATTCTTGGTGTTTGTAAAATAACTTGCAAATACTGGGAGATGATGCCCCCTGCCATTCTTATTGACCTCTTGAAGAAAGTAATCGGGGAGTTGGCATTTGATACAAGCTCAGCTGATGTTCGTTGTTCTGTCTTTAAGGTAAGCTTTGTAAAGTTATATAAGCAATATTATATAGAGTAGTCTTGTAAAACCAGAAAGATATGTAGAAACTACAGAGAAGGAAAAAGATTTTAAAATTACCTTACTCTAAGGGATCATATTGGCACTCTGTTTTTTGGGGTGTTTTGCTGGTTCTATGCTTTGTCTCCAGCCAGTGTCATGATCTGGTGAATATGAGAGACCCGGGTCAGCAAGGCCGACCACTCACCTAACCACCGGGCAACATACAAGGCTAATTCTTTTTCCCATTTAAGGAGTCTCTGCTATTTTCATAAGTAAAAATTATATAAAAGCCCCTTTTCAGAGAGATTATGTTTTTAATGCTCTACACTGAGCATAGTTTTGGGACTAATCTGTGTGGCTTTTACATACCGTCTTCCAATCAGCACCACCCATAGTGGATCACTTTTATTTCCTAAGCAGTTGGAACCAAGTAGATCTGGATTTATAGAAACTACAACCTAGCTATTGGGTAGTCCTTTTCTCTGCTTAGTATGATGATAAAGTGAGGGTAGTAGGCCAGAGTTTGCCAAGACATGGTGCTAAGTGTTCTGGGGTTGAGCTGGAGCGTATAAGGCTCTAAGAGGAGATAGTCAACACCATTGGAATGGACTATCTAGACACTCAGGTTCCCAGCACCTGAGCATAGAGCCAGTGCCGTTTCCCACTCTCACAGGAAAGCAGGTCTGTTCAGGGGTGGTCTTTGGCCTTTCAAGTTTTTGGTTTACCTACTTGCTGCTTCTTGCTGTGGCGTCCCCTGTTCCTCGTGTGTTTTTCAAGTCTGGGTCAGAGATGAGCAGGTCTTCCCTTGGCGTGTCCCCGTTGTAGGGCCTCCGTCTAGCCTAGGCACTGCTGTAGTCAGCAGGAGCAGCCTTCCACCCTCAGCAGAACTCCTAAGTCCTTACGAAATTTGAACCCACTGTAAGGCGCTTCTGGTTCTGTATCCTGTAGAAGGGCATTTCTGGTTATGGGACTCACTTTTTTTTTCTTGTTATTAGTGGTACTATTCTGAACTCAGGGGTGGCTCCCACTTGAAAGACAAGCAGTCCACCACTAGAGCTATACCTCTAAACCTTTTCTGCTCTTTGCTCTGGTTATTTCACTAAAAGATCTTTCATTTTTACCCAGACTGACCTGTACTGTAGTTCTCTTATTCTTCATCCTGTAGCTGGAAAGAGGTGTGTGCTGCCATTCCCTGCTATTAATTGAGATGAAGTCTTGAGAACTTTTTACCTGGCCTGGCCTGGAATAGTGATTTTTTTTTTCAATTCAGAACCTCCATAGTTTAGCTAAGAAAACTGAATTTTTTTTTGGGGGGGGGGAGGCGCACATGCATGCATGCAGGCCAATCCTGGGACTTGAACTCAGGGCCCAGAGGCTGGCCCTGAGATTTTTTGCTCCAGGCTAGCATTCTACCATTGGGCCACAGTTAAACTTTGGCTTTTTGGTGACTGTAAAGATTGCTGAAAGGAGACCATTACACAGTTCAGGCAGAAGAGAGTTTGTTAGGAGAACCAAGCTGCCAGCCTACACCAGATGTAGGTGTGCAGAGCACAGAGCAGCCTGTAGGGTAGCAGCTTGTGGTGGAGAGAGATGGTACAGGGAAAGGCAAGGAGAAGAGAGGAGGGTGTGGCTGCAGCACTTAGGGGATTGACCTCAGAGCCTGAGGTCCTTTGTTGACTCCCAGTCAGGTAGTTGATGGGTGATTGTCAGTTTGGGGCGGGTGATTTCTGGTAAAGCTAGGTGCTTTCCTTCAGGAAGGGAGGTGGGGGACCTATTCTCCCCAGCCCGACCTAACAAGGATTAATTGGAGATAGTCATCTCTGGTGCATTCCTGCCTGGGAACTTCAAGCTGTGATCCTCATGTGGCCACCTTCTAAGGAGCTAGGATTGCAGGTGTGACCCAGAAGCACCAGCTGCAGATTATTTTTAAAATAACTACTGTAGTCTCATTTGTGTGAAACAGTAGCTGGACTTATTGCCAGTTGTTAATCCTACTAACTCATTAGTTGTATTTTTTTTAAACCAGTTATAGAGCTTGAACTTAGGTCCTGGTACAGTCTCTGAACTTATTTTTACTCAAGGCTAGTTCTCTACCACTTGAGCCACAGCTCCACTTCCGGCTTTTTCTGCTTATGTGGTGCTGAGGAATCGAACCCAGGGCCTCATGCATGCAAGGCAAGCACTCTACCACTGAGCCACCTTCCCAGCCCATCTCTTTACACACACACACACACACACATTCTGAACTTTTTCTTTTTCCTTTTTGTAGTGTCTGCCCATCATTTTGGATAATAAAATGAGCCACCCCTTATTAGAACAACTATTGCCAGGGCTCAGATACAGTCTCCATGATAATTCGGAGAAAGTAAGAGTGGCTTTTGTGGATTTGCTGCTGAAAATCAAAGCTGCGAGAGCTGCAAAGGTGGGTAAATAGGACTTACTAAAGATACAAAATGACACAGCTGTTTTCATCCAACAGAAAGACAAACTTTAATTCTAAGAATCCGAGTAATCATATTTTAAACAGTTTAATATGTTGTATTTGCCTAGTTCTGTATCATAAAATTTTTAGGCTTCTTATTGAAGGTTCTAAGGATATCAATGTGTGGTTTTCAAAGTCATTAATATTACAAATCTCTTTAAATTGCCTTTTGATCATATGTGGAAGTGTTAGCTAAAATAAGTGTTGACTAAAATGATGTAATATGTATTTGACACTTGTTAGCACCTACATTACTTGGAAATGTGGCTAGAAGCCCTTCTCCCTTCCACAAGGGAAACAGAGACCCTTGCCTCATAGTAAATGTTCCTTGGGCACCATACACACTGCTGTTGTGATTATTCTCTCCTCACTCCAGTTGTGTTCAGTTTCTTGACAAGGATGTCAGTGGCAATATTGCTGAATTGGATTTGCTGCTAATTGGTAATACTGTGAGCTTTTCCTCCATGTAACAGTTCTCATTTACATTAAAATACTATTTTGTTATGCCACAGGATTTGGAAAACAACGTGATTTGTCCTTCAGTGTAGCATCAGCTGGATTTATGTGTATTCACACAAGTTATGATGAGCTGCAGTGTGGCTCAGTGGTAGCCTCATGGTGCTGGCTTCCGTCCTCTAGCACTATAAAAGGGAATCTTTTTGTGGGTCTCCTGTGGAGATAGCAAGTATGTAAATGAAAAAGCATGGAAGCAGTGGAAGTATTGTAGTGTGTGACCACTTGGGTATGCATGTGTATCTCTGAAGAAAATGGCGCATTGCTCACCGTTGCCTGGGAGCTTTGTCACTGCAGGTTGTAGTAGGAAGACCCCTACTCAGGCAGACAAGCCCACCTAGTCGTCCGGAGTGACAGAGCCCACCACAACAAAGTTGTTAATAGAGAGTTGTTTATTGAGAAAGTTCCTACACTGACCAGTCAGGGTCGCAGTACAGGCTCAGGAGCTGATACTGCGACCCCCCCAGCGGCCCACATACTTTGGTTTTTAAAGACAAAATCCTTGAGGTCGAGCCTGGTCACATGCAGGTGACCAATGGGGTAATACCAGACCACACACAGGTGGCCAGTAGGCGAAATATACCGTAAGCATTTGCAAAAGGCAGAGTTTACTGTAAACACGTGGTGTTGGAGCCAGTTGGATCCAGATTACAACCTATCTGTTTTATGGGTCAGTCTTTAACTCAACAATCAAGGTGGGTTAGGTTGTTAAGGGGAGGGGGACCTAGAGGTATTCTTTCCGTTCCAGGAACTGGGTTGATTGGAGCCAAGGTCTAGTTAAATTTGTTTAAAGGTGTTTTTTTTTTTTTTTTCTAAAATCCCTAAAACAAAGGCAAAGCCTGGAAAGAAGCTATACCAGCTCAAGTCTCCTCTCAGGGCCTGCTTCAAGGGGACTTGTGTCAAAAAACGAAGGACATGTTGAGTCCGTGCAGTAAGAATCCTGAAGTCATGCCCAATTGCGTTACTTTGAAATTTTTGTGTATATTGTAGGCTGTGTACTTTTCTGAATGTATCCAGGGTGTTTTAGTCTTACAGTTAATCTTACACACTCTTTGCTAGTTTTCTTTTTTTGGTGGTATTAAAGTTTTAAGCCGAGGGAGGGCTTTGTACCCTAATATTTGAGCCACATCCCTAACCCTTTATGTTCTGGTTATTTTTCAGATAGCTTCTAGAGGTTTTTGCCTGGGGCAAAAAGGATTGGTGTACACCACCACATCTGAATGGCACAACTAACGCACTTGGTTTGTGTTGATAGGGGTCATGCTAGCATTTACCTGGGCAGATCTTCACCTACTGCGCCATTGTGCCTGACTTCTTTTCATTTTAGATTCTTTATATTTCACTGTAAATTTTGGAGTTAGCATGTCATTTTCAACAAAAAGCTGCCTATAATTTTGATTACCTGCTAAAACTTTGCTTCTGAATCTGAAGATCAAGCTTGGCATGGTGTAGATGTGTTTGCAAAGGATTAAGGAAATGTACATAGCATGGTTCCTACTAATTAATGGCATATACCCAAGAGAACTGTGGAGGTACCAAGTAAGACAGGGCTGAAGGGTTGGAAACAGCAGAGGTCTGTGTATGGGTACAGAGAAAGGAAATGTCGTATGTTCTTTCCTGGCTTTGAAGCTTTGTGGTGGGCAAGCAAGCCTAGAATCACTTTTGGGGAGTTGAGGTACTAGGAAGGAAGATTGTGCTATGGTAGGAGTGGACACATTTGTCCTGTTGGCTCTACTTCTAGTGTCAGAAAGTCATGTTAATTTCTTTTGTTGTTGTTGTTGGTTGTGGGGCTTGAACTCTAGGGCTGGGTGCTGAACCTGAGCTCTTTTTGCTCAAGGCTAGCGCTCTACCACTTGAGCCACTTCTACTTTTCTGGTGTTTAATTGGAGATAAAAGTCTCACGAACTTTCCTACCTGCTCTGGCTTTCAACTGTCGTCCTCAGATCTCAGCCTTCTAAGTAGCTAGGATTACAGGCGTGAGCTACCAGCACCCAGCTATTTTTTTTTCTTTTTTTTGTGCCAGTCTTGCGCCCAGGTACTGTCCCTGAGCATCTTATGCTCCAGGCTAGTGTGCTCTACCACTTGAGCCACAGCTCTACTTTTGGCTCTTTCTGAATAGTTAATTTAGAATAAGAGTCTCACGAACTTCTGCCTGGGCTGGCTTTGAACCTCGATCCTTAGAGCTCAGCCTCCTGAGTGCTAGGATCACAGACATGAGCCTCATGCAGCCAGTGCATGTTTCTCTTTACTCTCCTTTCAGTAGAGGGTTGGGTGTGAGTGGTTCTGATTTGTGCAAGTTATCTCGTGTTCATGATGGGCTAGAGGAGGGAGAGACCAATAAAGAGGCCAGACGGTGTAATGTGTGATAACAACTCCAGTTTTAGACATGGAGGCTGCTCACTGTGGTCCTCAGGAGTGCTACCCTGTGCTTCTGAAGATAGGAGTGGGTGTCCGTGTCAAGGTGATGACATTGTAAGAAATGTAAAAATGGTTAACTTGGTAGTCATAGCTATCATTCGAGTGTTTACTGTGCATTGCAGCCTGCTAACTATTATTGCCCTCCTCCCTAACTTTTATACTTCTGCCTTATATATTGGCACTTCTTCAAATGTAGATTGATTTATTCTCTTCACAAGTAAGATTTTTGCATGTCATTTGAAATGAGTTTTCTTCAATAGAAGCTTGGTTTCTCTTTCGTTATGGTTTGGTGTTTTTCAAGATTATAAGAACAATCAATTATTTCCTCCTGTGCATGTGTTTCTTTCTATAGTTTTGGAAAATATGCCCCATGGAGGACATTCTAGTTCGTCTGGAAATGGATTCTCGACCAGTGTGTCGGCGCTTGGTGAACCTCATCTTCACCTCTTTCCTGCCTGTGAACCAGCCAGAGGAAGTCTGGTGTGAGCGCTGTGTCACACTGGTCCAGATGAACCACGCAGCTGCCCGGAAGTTCTACCAGTATGCCTGTGAATACACTGCCTGCACCAACATAGGTCTGGACTCCCACTCCAAAGCACCATGCACATCTCACACACACATGCCCAGTATGGTCACACTAGCAGGCTTCATGCTTCAGTTCATTTCTTAGTGATTTCTCTTCATGTAATATTTCTTACTATTTGGTATTATAATCTTTTTATTGTTAGAAAGTTAATTTTGTAGAAAGAAACAATTTATTTGTTGATTAATCTTAAACCTTTTAGCAAAGCTGATCCATGTTATTCGCCAATGCTTGAATGCCTGCATCCAGAGAGCTGTTCATGAGCACCAAGAAGCCCAGGAGGAGCAAGAGAAGGAGAACGAGACTGTGAGTAACCCCTTACCCCCTACCTAGAGAAAGGCAGAGCCTGGTACTCTAGGGATATTTTTATTTTGTGTTTGTTCCTTTAGTAGGAATAGTTTGAACTTTTTTTTTTTTTAATGATAGAAAATTCTGGTGCCAGTGGCTCAGTCCTGTAATCCTAGTTTACTTAGGAGGCTGATTTCAGGATAACAGTTTGAAGTTGTCCCAGGCAGGAAAGTCTGTGAATCTCTCATCTCCAGTTAACCAGGAAAAAGCCAGAAGTAGAGCTGTAGCTCAAGTGATAGAGCACTAGCCTTGAGCAAAAGAAGCTCAGGGACACTGCCCCAGTACCTCAGTTCAAGCCCCAGGATCAGCAAGAAAAAAAGAGATCAGAAAATGTGTGTTTGAAAGAAAGTAGATTATAGTACAGACTTTGCCCTGAGCTGCTGGGTATGTTGATTTTCCTAGGTGTGCAGCACTAGCTGGGTTCCATTCTGGCTATTCCCACAGTTCATGATTCCATGGCAGTCCTGTCAGGGCCAGACTCACAAGATGCTTCTAGAAACATCTCAGGGCAGAGATTGTGTAGAGTTGTTTTTTATAAAATGTGACCTGGTGCTTGCATCAGCAGCACACATACCGTAACTGGGATGATACAGAGAAGATTAGCATGGCCCCTCTGCTGCGATGACATGTTTCATAAAATGTTGCCTGTTTCCTAAATTTTTTTAATGAACAAATAAAAATTAAACTTTATTACTGCTGTTCTTCAGAACACAGTGTCCTATGTTCTTTATGCATTTTTAAAAATTGTTATTGTAAAGGTGATGTACAGAGGGGTTACAGTGTAAGTCAGGCAAAGAGTACGTTGCTTTTGGGGGCAGTTATTGTAAAGATGATGTACAGAGGGGTTACAGTGTAAGTCAGGCAAAGAGTAGAGTACATTGCTTTGGGGGCAGTGTCACCCCTTCCCTCCCTGTCTCCTAGTTTTTCCCTCCTATACCACCCACAAGTTGTATAGTTTGTATTCAGTGCAATGTCTGTTGTGTACCACTTTGTTCACCCCTTGTCCCTCCAGTTGTTACCCCCTCCCACCCTCCCCAAAACAGGTAAACAAACAAGAAAAAGAGGAAAGAAAACTAAAACAGCAACAAACAGAAAGCCTCTTTCTGGGATCTGGTGGCTCACGCTTGTAATACTAGCTACTCAGGAGGCTGAGATCTTAGGATCAGGGTTCATAGTCAGCTTAGACAGTAAAGTCCTCATGAGACTTTTAACTCCAATTAACTACTCAAAAACCAGAAGTGGTTCTGTGGGACAAAGCGATAGAGAGCTAGCCTTGAGCTCAGGGACAGTGACCAGGCCTGAGTTCAAGCCTAGCAACCAACAAAAAATAAAAAAGCCTCTTGTTTCCATTTCCTGGAGTTCATTTCCATAAATATTATTTTGTATGAGCATGATGCCTCTGTTTCTTTCCTAAGACTAGAATTTACCTTCTTAGTAGACCTTCTGAAACAGTGAATAACATCCCTCCATGGCTGAGCATCAATGTCACAAGCTAAGCTTGTGATTCTAGCTACTCAGAAGGCTGAGACAGAAAAAAGCACAGTTTGAAGCCACAGTTTGTTTCCAATGATATGGTTTGTTTCCAATCAGCTAGCAAATAGCAAAAAGCTTGGCTGGAGGTGTGTCTCAAGTGAGGGTAACAGCCACACAATTTGAGGACCTGAGTTTAAACCCTGGTACCAACCCCCGCCACCCCCCCCCACCGAAAAAATTTATAATATTAAAAAGCACTTTATATTCCTTACATTTTGTGTTAGGTCTGACATGCAGTACTTACTAGCTCCTCTCACAGTAGCACACATTATTTGTGTCTTAGGTACTGGACAAAATGCTGTCAGTGGATGATGTTGCCTCTATGGCAGGATTGCTAGAAGTCATTGTGATTCTCTGGAAGAGCATCTATAGAAGTCTGGAAAACAACAAGGAAGCCAAAGTCTTCACCATTAACAAGTTTGCATCTGTGCTTCCAGAGTACCTGAAGGTATTCAAGGTAAGTCTTCGGCCCCTCTGTGAGCAAGATGTGTTTGACTGATTTAATCTAGTGGGAGTTGTGTTTTCTCACCAGTACAATGAGACCATTGAAGTGGCCTTTGTGTCAAAGTTTGATTGGTATCCATCCTCACTTCATGTTCATATGACCCAGAAAAGTGCCCAAGGTGAGCCCTGACTTTCCAAAACCAGAAATAGTGTTTTGGAATCTAATTTGACTCGCAGGTGAGAAGAGGATTTTTGTGACCAAAAGATGTAATTATAACAATTCCGTGGCTGTATCCTCAGGCATCTGAAAGTGGTCAGGAAACACATACCTCTGTAGCATTAGAGTGGAGAGTGTAAATCAGACAAAATAGAACAATGTGGTTTTTATTTCTACTTTTTTTAGTCATACTGGGGGCTTTGCACTTGCTATGTAGGTTCTATCACTTGAAGGACATTCCTGGACCCTTTGGCTTTAGCTATTTTTCCAATAGGATCTTGTGTTTTTACCCAGGCCAGCCTGGACTTGAAATCTCCTGGGATTACAGGCCTCAGCTGGCCCTGTGTGAGATTTCATTTACTTTTAGTTGACAGACAAAAACTAAGTTTGTGTTGTATTCAACTTGATGTTTTAAAATAGGTGTAACTTGTGGAATGGCTAAGTTGAGCTATGTTAAGTGATGAGAGCACATCAGAGTGACTGGTGGCCATGTTGTTTATTGTTAGAGGTCTCTTAAACTCACGTCTCCTAACTAATTTAAATTTTGCTGCTCTGACCAGCACCTCCCTCCCCACATTTGGTTGCACCGGTGCTCTCTGTAAGTGCAAATTCAGTTTGGATGAGGAAAACATTATTATGTCTTCACTTTTTTTTTTTTGGTTGGTCATGGGGTTTGAACTCTGGGCCTAGGTGCTGTCCCTCAGCTCTTCAGCTCAAGGCTAATGCTCTACCACTTGAGCCACAGCACCACTTCTGGTTTTCTTATGGTTACTTGGAGATTAAAGAGTCTCACAGACTTTTCCTGCCCAGGCTGGTTTTGAACCACGATCCTCAGATCTCAGTCTCTTCTTCACTTTTTTTTTAAGTTTGTATTTCAAAACCAAGTTTAAAAGAATAGTACAAGTTAAAGCCAGGCACAGGTGGCTCATGACTGTAATCCTAGCTGCTCAGGAGGCTGGGATCTGAGGATCGCAGTTCAAAGCCATCCTGGACAGGAAAGGCTAAAACTTATGTCCAATAAACCACCAGAAAACTGGAAGTGGCTCAAGTGGTAGAGTACTCGCCTTGAGCTGAAGAGCTGAGGGAGAGTGCCCAGTCCGAGAGTTCAAGCCCCATGACCTACTCCCCACCCCAAAAAAAAATAGTACAAGTTAAAAATGCAAATTTATTCCTAACTATACATACATATATATAATTTACTGCCTGGGCTGGCTTTGAACAAAAGTCCTCAGCTCAGCTTCCTGAATAGCTAGAATTACAGGCCTAAGCCACTGGTGCTGAATTTTGAAATGTATTTTTTAAAAATAGTGCTTTTGTGTGTGTGTGAGCGTGTGTGGGCTGGTCCTAGGGCTTGAACTCAGAGCCTGGGTGCTGTCCCTGAGCTTTTTGCTCAACTAGTGCTCTACTACATCTCCACTTCTGGCTTTTTTGGTGGCTAATGGGAGGTAAGAGTCTCATAGACTTTCCTGCTCATGCTGGCTTGGAGCTATGATCCTTAGATTTGAGCCTCCTTGGTAGCTAAGATTATAGGAGTGAGCCAGCGGAGCCCAGACAGATAATGGTTTTGAAGATAGAGTTTATTGATAGAATGATCATAGCTGACCGTAGATCTTACAAACTTTTTTTTTACTATTATTATCCTTCACTCTACTAACTTTCTGTGATTTTGGACTACATATCAGTTTTTTAAATAATTTTTTATTAAGATTAAGTAATTACATAAAATTTACAAATCTTAACCTTCACAAGGCAAATTGTCATTATTGTGGTCTATGAAGTTTGTGAATTCTATAAGCTTTGACAATACAACTATTTCTTCTGCCTTGGGTGATATGTACATTTCTTTCCTTTTGCTTAGTGTTAGCTGTTCCCTCTTTCCCTCTCCCTCCCTCCCTTCATCCCTTTGCTGCCCTTGAGTTGCTTAGTTCATTTTCATCAATGTCCAGTGCAGCTGCTGTATGTATTTTTAAAAGATATGTATGTATTTTTTCCCGTTTCCCTCTGATTCTGTGGTTATCCTAGACTCTATTAACTTGTGATTTTAGACTACATACCACTTTTAAACCTTGTTTCTGTGACTATCATCTCTGAGCTATGCACTCAGCTTTTGAGCTTTTGCTCATGAAGGCAAATTATCTCAGTTGCCAAGTTTTCTAGTAAATTTTTAAACTCAGTATTTTGCCTTAGACTAAGAAAACAGTATTATCTCAGAAATTTCAAAAGATAAAACAAGCCACCCACAGTGGCAAATGCCCAGGGTCTCTAGGACTGGGATATAGTGAATTTAGGAGCTCAGGGAACCTTGGCAGTGGATGTATGAGCACGTGCATCAGGCTATTTGTGACATTAGGGAAATAGTTCTTTATTCTGTGTTGAGGGTCAAGGTATGCAGATGACACATCAGATTTTGATTTCACCTGTTTGTATTTCATGTGTATTGTTAGGAAAATTATTTCACTTTAGAATTTACCGTTGGTTGCTTATGTACCATAAATGGCTTTTGATACATAACTGTCTATATCTATCTATCTGTCTTATCTATAGTGGTATTCTTGGTATAATCTAAGCAATTAAAATCTGGTCAGATTGCTTGTTACAATAATGATAATACTGATACAGCTGTATTAGTAGCTCTTAGCACTTATTAGGTAACATTGTACCAGTTTCCTGTGGTTTGGTTTGTCTTTTTTAGTCCTGTCCATTTTGACAAGAGAAAGAAACTAAATCTGCCTGTAGACCCTGACCTGTTTTGCCAGCTGTTAGGTTGTGGCTTTGATTAGACTTGGTTTGTTTTTGTAAGCATGTGTGTTTATACTGTCTTCCTAAAGATACTCTTCTTGAATGATTTGCTTCTTGTGAGAGTTAATTTCACATATATTGACTATTTACCAAGAGTATAGTTGATTTTATTACATTATTCATTGTTGTTTTCAGAGCAGAACAAGCTGTATGACAGCAGGGTCTGTAATCTGTTCTCATTACAAGTGTCCATAGGATTTAGAATAGTGCCTGGAACATAGCAGATGCATAGTAGAGAAGTTGTGTAAAACCTTCAGGATCCTTGATTTGATAGTAATCTCATCCTTTAACCTGAGGTCTATCAATGGGTTGGTTTACAAACATTGAAGAAAGTCATAGAATGTAATCTTAGCACCTTTGGAATTAGGTTATTCAGAGTAATGTGGAGAGGTATCCACATTTCCTGAGTTTGTTCTGTTTTTCTTTTCTGCTGTTAGGATGAACGCTGCAAGATCCCTTTGTTTATACTGATGTCCTTCATGCCAGCGTCTGCCGTCCCTCTCTTCAGGTATGCAGAAGCAAAGCAGGAGAGACACGCTTGTCTTCAACCTGTCTACCTCGGCTAGGTGTGATTTCAGTGAGCATTGCAGTTGTCAGGTAATGAAGAAGTGACTTCACTTGAAAGTCTCGGGGTTTAACACCTGGTGGTGTAACTCCAGGCCACTCAGCCACCACTGGTTATACATATCTCTAAACAGGAATGTAGCTATCTGGATTTGAGATGTTGTAAGTATAAAACATACATGGAATCAAAGCCTTGGTATAAAAGATATTGACTAAGAATGACATTTGGATTAGATTAAGTAAGGTATGTATGTCTTTGAAACTCAATTTACCCAATCCCCTTCACACTTTAAAATGAGTGTTAGAAAAGTTTGAGTTGCATATGTAGTTTGCACACTCTTTTCTCTTTTTTTGTTGTGGTGCTGGGAATCAAACTTAGGGCCTTACACATGATATCTATATACCCCATCACTGAGCTTCTATTCACATACTCCTTTTACCAGATAATGTAGATCTAGAGTTTTCCTTATTACTTAGTAAGAATAAGTTATTTCTATTCATATTTGTGGAAAACAAACATTTTTAACACTAAACAAAATTTAATTCCAAATTAGCAATTCTTGGTCTAGAATCTGACAGAGCTAGTACAAAAATAAAAGGTCTTGAGGAGGTAGGACATATCCTAGGTCACTGAGACCTTCGTGGAGTTGTTGTCTTGGTGTTTTGGGGTGGGACAGTTACTGTCTGTGTCCTGCAGAATACCAGTATCAATATAGCAATGATGTCTCAACAACCCTGACTTATCTGAAGTGAGAATTTTTCTCCCTTTGTGGGAATATGAGGGATTTGTTATTGGAATATTTCGAATTTGTTGTTGACGTATTGTCCTGGTTTTATGTACTTGACTCAGCTGTGGTGTGATTTCGGTCTTGAGAAACCAGGAGGAGGGTGTTGCTGGCAGGAGCTACTGTACCTTGTTGGATTGTCTTTGCTCCTGGGGCCAGGTGGGGCATATCCTGGAGCTCATGGATGACTGGTTGCCCGAGGAACGGCCCCGAGCCAAGGTGTGTGATCAAGAACTACTGTGTTCTGGAAATTACTTTCTTTTCTAGGAACATGAGCTCTAATTGCTCATTTGTACCCTCTTCAGAGTAATATGGCATCTAAGCGTAAAGTGCAAATCCATGACACACGTCCAGTAAAACCTGACTTAGCACTGGTTTACATGGAATATTTGTTGACCCATCCAAAGAATCGAGAATGCCTGCTCTCTGCACCCCGGAAGAAACTTAACCATCTTTTGAAAGCACTTGAGACGTCAAAGGTAACTTTATATTCTGAAAGTTGAGTGATTGTGCATGAAAATTGCAGCGATACAGTAAGATAGATGTTTTTCATACTAATGGTGCTGTGATGTTTGAGCTGGAACATCTACAAGGGCACTGATGTGGGAGGGGCTGCATTGGGAGTAGGTCCATTTCCATGCCCTTCTCGTGAGTAGTGCCCCAAGCCCACATTGCCGCCCAAGCTGCTAGGGAAGTAGGACTCTGGTGGATCAGCCCTGCGTCTTGGAGCATATTGCTCTCTGAGGTCTCTAGGAGTCTTGGAGAAATTTAATTTCACATCATTGTGTTCCTGCGCTCCCATCTTCTCCACTGTCAGCTCTACCATCCCCTGCAGAACCAGGCGTGAGATCGTCTGGGGAGGAGGAGAGTCCTGGTTCAGTGGGTCTGCTTGCGGGCTGGTGTGTTACTTGGGTGGCGAGGCGAGGCTTCTCCAGAGTTGATGTCTTCCTCCTCACCTGTGGCCCGAATGCCTGCTTCTTGGGTGTTACGGGGTACATTTGAACATGGCTTTTGGGTTGGGATTTTACAGGCAGACCTGGAATCACTTCTGCAGTCTCCAGGTGAGAAGTCCCCTAACTTCAGCCAGGTGTCTGCACTGCGAGCCTTCAGTCTGCACTGCCGATTGGGCATCCATATTCAGCATAAGGTACACTGCGTGGGCCCAGGTCCAAGCAAGTGGGTCTGGAGTGAGTGGCATGTTCCAGAGCTTCTGTCATCACTGATTTGTCCTTTCATTGTGTCGGATAGTTCTGCTCAGAAGGGGAGACTCATCTGTCCATCTTGGAAGACACTGGGTTTTGGTTAGAAAGCAAAGTTTTACCTCTTATTCGAGATCAAGGAGAAGAACATCTGAAGCTCCAAAGGGATGCCTACCAGCAGATTATCCAGGTCAGCAGTCTGGGCCACAGAGCCTTCCTCTTCATGGTGTGCTGTGTGTGCAGGACTGCTTCTTGTGTCCAGGTGGCGGTTAGGGACCTTGTTGCTCTTTTGAAATATTTAACAGATGCATTGAAGTAGCTAGCACTTATCTTTTCACAAAGTATAAGCAACATAATTTTAATGTAGTTTTGTGCATTAGGTGCTTGGTTGGTGGAATTAAATATCTTGATTTCTTGTGGGAAAATGTGAGAATACATTTCTATAGAAATTCCTTTAGAAACATCTTTGTAAGTCTCTTTTTATGAGTGCACTATACCACATAGGAGAAGCTTTGCTGGGCCTGACTACATCTCTTGGTAACAGTGAACACATCTCTCTTTTACAGACCTACTTGACTGTATGTAAAGATGTTGTCATGGTTGGCCTTGGAAATTCGAAGTTTCAAACACAACTTTTACAGCAGAGTCTTGGAGTCATGCAAGCAGGCACAGTATATTTCATTCACTATTGGGCTACTTTAGAGCAATGCATACTCAAAGCTAGTGCTTTCTTTCTTCCCTTGCTCCTTTACTTGCAGATCAGGACTCTGGCTTTTAAGAGACAGATGTGCTATGCAAATTGACTTATGCTAAAAGAATGGTTTCTCCAAGGCTGACACTCTATGGGAATCCCAAGACACAGGTGTCCTGGGGTTCTGCCACCGCTAGGCAGACATGACCCAGCCTGGCATCTCTAAAGCAAGTCTCACAGACGAACCCTCTTGTTCTGCTGTGTCTTCGCTCCTGTGGGTGGAGTGAGTTAGGTGTTGTTGAGTAGCACCCCCTGGTCCAAGGAGAAGGGTGGCATAGCTGTGTGGCAACAAGAGTGTCAGATCAGCAGGGTGCCAGTGGCTCACACCTGTTACTCACACTTGGCTTTTATCTCCATTCAAATAACAGAAGTGGTGCTGTGGTTTAGGTGGTAGAGTGCTAGCCTTGAGCAAAAGGAGCTCAGTAACAGTTCCTAGGACTCATATCCAGCCCCTCTCCCCCCCACCCCCCCACCCCCGCTAAATGTCAGGGTGATTGAGCCATCTAACTCCTGAGGGTGAAGGTTCTCTTAGCCTACATGCGAATATAGCAGGAAGGCCAGCCATGTGGCTAGGAGAGTGTCACACTTGGGCTTCTAGTCATAATCAGTGTCAGTCTGGCAGGAAGAGTACTGGTGCTATGTTCTCTCCTCTCCCATCCCTACCCTCCACCCCTAGCTACTGGCCCCTGGCCCCACTGGTGGTCTCTGTGGAGTAAACTGTCTCTAGATGGGTTTTGCTGTACACTCTAGTTACAGGATCTATGGAACGTCAGCATTTTCTTAAGCCCAGAGCTATTTCAGGAGAGGTACTCCATTAAGTTAGCCTCAGTAAGGCTCTAGTCAGGTAATAGCCAGTCCACCTATCTAGCCACGGCCTGAGCATCTTTGGGCAGGGTCTTGTCTACTCTACGTGCTGCTGGAGCTTGATACTGGCCAGCACCTTGAGGTTATCTTCAGTTACACTCAGGATTATACGTCATTGCTTTAACATTTCCGTTAGAGACTAGACGTTAAGTAGAACCAGCATTGTTTATTTCGTAGTCTAGCTTTTACATTAAACTCATTATGCAATTTATACTTAGTGATTTAAGCTTAATGACTGAAACAGTCAAAATGACTTTAATAAAGACATTTTATTTATCATTCAGGACTTACATATTTATTTATAAGCTATAGGATTTTGAATCTTTAGTTACTCAGTTCCCCCTAATGAAGCTGGAGCACTCTTTATATTTACATACCCAGTAAATAAGGTTTTCAGAATTGGGCCACTCTGTGGCCATCCTTCTGTTAGCTGGTTGAAATGTATCCCGTCATAAAGCTGCATTTTAACCAGGTGGACTGGAGTGTACTGGTCCCTGCATCGTGGACTAATGAGCCCTCACACCGATGGGTTTTTATTAACTTTTTAGCTTTTTATTTTTATAAAGTTCATGTGCAGAGGGGTTACAGTTAACCTAAGTCAGGTAATGATTGCATTTCTTTTTGGACAGTGTCACCCCTTCCTTCGCTCTCCCAGTGGTTTTTTTTGTTTTTGTTTTTTTTTAATTTAATTTAATTTTATTTGTGAACATACTGTACAGAGGAGTTACAATTACATGTCTCCCAGTGGTTTTAATTTAAGAAGTTAGTTACATTTATGTTAGTTTTGTTCAGTTATGTCATTCTTCATGCCAAGTGCACTAGGAAAAGGCATTCTTGGGATGCTGTTGTGGTAGCCCAGCACATTGACTAGAGGTAAGGATCCTGCTCACTAACATGCAGGTGTTCACAATATAGCACAATAGATGTGTTTCATAAACTCCATTCACTCTGCAAAGTCAGACATTAAAAAGTAACAGGGCTTATGGGAAAAGCAGATTTTTCCTAGTAAGAGTTTAGCATAATTAAAAGGAAATGTTAAATCTCTAAAGTGTAGAAATGTACTGTAAACGTAGGACTTTATCTTACATGAAATGATACAGATGATTGACAGAGAGAATGTAAGGCAGGCTGGCTGTTGCACCCCAGAGACCACATCTGCCTCATACGATACGGGGAGAGCACAAGGCGGTGAGCTGAGAGCCAGCATGAAGGCACTCCTTGTTCACTTACTGACACTCGCTGTCTAAAAGATTCACAGGTTGGAAAGAGCCATGGGAGGAAAACCCTTAGCATGTGACCTCCAGCCAGCACCCTCTGACTTGTCATTAGGAGTTTGTTTGTCCTGACCACATACACTTAAATAGGATGAAATAGCTTTTAATGAGAACTTGTAGCCTTCTGCCTTTTTGTCAGTTTGCAGAGAGCCCTTGCCCTGAAGGAGGTCTGAGCCTAGCACCCTCTGCCTGGCCCGCTGAGGAGCTTCCGTGGGACCAGTGGGTGTCATTTAAATCATAGTTCCTTGAAAATTTCTGTTGTGGTTTCAGATATTTTCACAGTTTTTATTGATTCTGGCAGAGCCTAGGCTTCCTGCAGGGCCATTTGATGCAGGGAATGGACCGCTCGGATGGACCATCTGTCTTGTTATCTCAGCAGGTAGACTGGGGTTGTAACTAGCTCTGTTTCTGGTGGAGCCTCGTAGATCTAGCCTGCCTTAGAGCTGAGTGGCTTTGTCTCGTGTTTGCAGGCCTGTCTCCTAGGCAAGCCCTTGTGGCCACCTCATGACAGCCTCTTCACAAGGAGCATTATTTCTGTGCCTTATCACCTGACTGCTTTGTGTTAAGGCATCTTGCAGCATGATTTGGCTGGAAGGTGTTTGGTGTACATGAGTCAAAAGCTAGGATAGACTGGGATGAGGTGAGGGAGAGCTCCCACGAGGGAGCAGGTCCTCTGCTCTGCTTTTGTTGCTCTTACCAACAGGATTGATTAGAAAGAAGGTTTCAAGCCAAAGAATATAATTAAGATTACATGTGGAGGGGCTGGGAAGGTGGCTCAGTGGTAGAGTGCTTGCCTAGCATGCATGAGGCCGTGGGTTCAATTCCTTGGCACCACATAAACAGAAAAAACTGGAAGTGGCACTGTGGCTCAAGTGGTAGAGCGCTAGCCTTGAGCTGAAGAGCTGAGGGACAGCGCCCAGGCCCAAAGTTCAGGCCCCACGACCAGCAAAAAAGTAAAATAAAATAAAAAGATTACATATGGAGTAAAATTTGCAAAATTCAGTACAGTAAAGGAAATGATTTGGAAGAGAAAGAAAATTATAACCACCCTGTGTAGGAAATTGTACCAGTTTGGTTGTGGGATTATCAAATCATACTTTGAGAGGCGCCATGCCTTCCCAGTTGCTCTCATAATTGGTGATTTGTGAGAATTATGTGAGAGAAATACACATGCTTTAATTCAGGTGTCCTGGGTTCATGCTACCAATTGCTGTATGTTCATGCATGCAGCCAATAGTTGTTACTTTAGTGAATGAGTCAGTGTCCTGTTATTGCTAGGGAAGTTGATATTTTGTACTTAAATGTAACACAATTTTTATTTGTTTAGGTTAGAATCTAGATTAACCTGACCAATGTGGGATTCAGTATTGGGTCACTAGTAATAAATAGGCTCTTATACATCACCATTATATGCATATGTTAAGCACTTTACCTAAATTATGAAATTAGATAATTGCTCTTTTTTTCTTTCCAGTGAAGGGATTTTTTTATGTTTCGTTACTTCTTGGCATTTTGAAAGAAGTAACTGGGAGTTCCTTGATTCAGAAAACAGATTCAGATGAAGAAGTTACAGCACTGTTTGACAAGGTCCAGGAAGTGTTTCAGAAAATGCTGGAATATATAGCACGGAGCTTCAGGACACAGCCGGAAGAAGGACTGCGGGTACTGGTGCCCTGACTGTCTGGGTCTGGGGTGAAGGGTGTGTTCGGTGCTGACTGGGGTGGGTGGGTGGAGATCACAGGTGCATATGTACATGTTTGGCCGCTTGCCCTGCTGTAGGGGCTGTGGCTGAATCTTGTCCCTCAGGTAAGTATACCCATATCCTGTGGTGATACTCTCAGAGATGGGCCTTAGTGTGTGGGTTGGAGGGTCATAGGCCCAGAGCCCCATATTTTATTTATGCCAGTCTTAACAGCAAGAACTCTGGAATTCAAGTCCTCCATCTGGCAGGACCAACACAGAACGGGATCAGCACTGCCTCTGCATGTGCATAGGTCTGCTAGAATCCCTAAATAGAAGACATGTTCGATGGTGATCATTCTGCTTGTTTTCAGAGGGAGAGAAGCCTAGCCTGGAAGAGATGCTAATTTTCACAGTGGATTATTCTGTTATAGTTAACATCAGCCCCCAGGTTGGAAGCAGAGTCATAGATTTGAAGGGATTCTTTTTTTTTCCTTGATGGTAGAAGTTGGTGTGATATAAGAAAATGGGAATCAATTCTTTTTTTTTTTTTTTTTCCTGTGTCTGTTGGTTGTGGGTCTTAAACTCTGGGCCTGGGTGCTGTCCTTCACATCTTCAGCTCAAGGCTAGCGCTCTGCCACTTGAGCCACAGCACCACTTCTGGTTTTCTTGTGGTTATTTGGAGTTAAGAGTGTCACAGATTTTCCCGCCCAGTCTGGCTTTGAACCGCCATCCTCAGATCTCGGCCTCCTCGGTAGCTAGGATTACAGGCGTGAGCCACCAAGTCCAGCCAGGAACCAATTCCATAGCAAAGTCATATTACTGGAAAGAGCCTTGATGGTTTTTTTTCTATCTAGTAACTTTTTAAAATTTTTTTGCTGGTCATGGAGCCTGAACTCTGGGCCTGGGTGCTGTCCCTCAGCTTTTCAGCTCAAGGCTAGCACTCTACCACTCGAGCCACAGCGCCACTTCTAGTTTTTTCTGCTTATGTGGTGCTGAGGAATCAAACCCAGGGCCTCATGCATGCAAGGCAAGCACTCTACCACTGAGCCACCTTCCCAGATCAACTATTGTTTTCTAATGAAGAAAGATGTTTACAAATGTTTTAATGGAAGGCTGTTTATGAAATAATTGACCTCCCAGTTTTACTCTGTCTTAGCTGGTGGAAGTAATTGAAAGTCATTACCTCAGTTTTTCTTTTTTTTCGGTTGGTTGTGGGGCAGCCACAGTGCCACTTCTAGATTTTTCTGCTTATGTGGTGCTGAGGAATCAAACCCAGGGCCTCATGCATGTGAGGCAAGCACTCTACCACTGAGCCACCTTCCCAGACCAACTATTGTTTTCTAATGAAGGTGTTTACAAATGTTTTAATGGGAGGCTGTTTATTAAATATTGACCTCCCAGTTGTTTTACTGTCTTAGCTGGTGGAAGTAATTGAAAGTCATTGCCTCAGTTTTTCTTTTTTTTTGGTCGGTTGTGGGGCTTGAACTCTGGGCCTGGATGCTGTCCCTCAGCTCTTCAGCTCAAGGTGAGCGAGCCACAGCACCACTTCTGGTTTTCTAGTGGTTTATTGGAGATAAGAGTCTCTCAGAGTTTCCTGCTGGGGCTGGCTTTGAGCTGCGATCCTCAGATCTCAGCCTCCTGAGTAGCTAGGATTACAGGCGTGAGCCACTGGCGCCCGGCTGCTCAGTTTTTCTTAATTCATACTGAATTCTTTTGAAGTAGTTATTTATTTGAGGAGCCATTTGATGTGTCTGTGCTCAGGTAATCTAATTTATGCCAAAATCATTACTTTTGCCATTAAGTCTTAACACTGCTTAAGTATCATCTTAGGAATGCACTATTTTATAGTTGTTATCGTAGTGTTATTGATGCTCTTCCCCTCCCTCCTCTCTACTGTCCCTCTCTTCCTAGCTACATCCCCTTCTTACTTCCTGAAGGTTTTTGTTTTGGTGAAGAAATGTCCTATGGTAATTCCTGGTGCATGGCTTGGTTTTTGTTTTTATACCATGGTTTTTAATGGATGTGTTTTCTTGCAGCTCCTCTATTCTGTTCAGACCCCTCTTCATGAATTTATAACCACTGTCCAGTCTTGGCATGAGGACACTCCTGTCCATCGGGGGATCCTTTCTACTCTGATTGCTGCTCCTGTGGTGGAGATAAGTCACCAGCTGCGGAAGGCGAGTTATATTTACACTGACATTTCCGGATCTTTGAGCAGGACGCTGCTCGCAGTGCCCGTTTGGGCAAGTCCTGGCGCGAGGACTTGCTTTCCTGTGGTTGCGCCTCACTGTCTGGGAGCTGGCTAATAGTGTAGAGTCGTGTGATCACCGAGGGTGTCATCACTCCTGATAAAACGGAGCCTGGCCTGGCCTCGTGTTGTGGGTATTTCTGCTGGCTCATTATGAAAATTGAATGACTTGACACATCGCTGAAGGTTCTTCTCTCCTGGGAGTTGGCAGGGGTACTAAGAGCAGGGTACAGGACTGTTCTGGGTTATTTTGGAATGGAGAGTTTGCATCTCTGATTGCTTGCTGTATTGTTTGTTAAAGAATGACTTAATCCTGTTAATCAGCTTGAATGATAATTCAAACCAACACACAAAAAATGATGTTTTGCCAAAAGAAACAGTTTTTTCACATCATAGATGCCCGGTTAATTGCTTAGGTGGTGAAATAAGCAGAGCAAAATTAAGAGAGTAGGTTTGCCTAGCGTAAGGGATTGTGTGCACTTCTGCATACAGCACTGATTAGCCCTGCCTTCTGAGGAAGGCAGTGCTAGGTGATTTCCCTTGTGTCGCTGTGAGAACGGTCCTCACAACAGTATTACAGTCACATACATTTGATGATAGAGAACCATGACTAATAAATCCTACAACATTAAATAGAATATAAAGCCCTTTTCAAAACTTGAAGGCAAGTTACTTGGTTTAGGAAGTAAATGATAGATGACACAGAATAAAGCTTAAACTTACTATAGGAGATGCATCAGATAAGTTACACAAACCAGTGATGGTTTTGGCCACAGTCTGCTGCTTTACCTGCCTGTGAGGTCTGGCCCAGAGCGTGGTGTTTGCTGTGTATTTGCTGTGTGTGGAGCCATCCCTGCTCTGTTGGAGTGCAGGCTGCTTTTCTACTGAGGGGCCTGCCTTCTGCTCCTTTTCAGGACCGGCCTGCGGCTGGCCTCCGCTGCCTCCTTCCTGAACATCGAGATTGGTTAGCACGACACACAACACCGTGTTTGTGACCGTGGTGGATTTGTCTCTCTTTATTTTATTTTTTGGAGGGGGTCTGGTTGTGGGCCTGAACTCTGGGCCTGGGCGCTGTCCCTCAGCTCTTCAGCTCAAGGCTAGTGCTCTACCACTTGAGCCACAGCGCCACTTCC